GGGGGGGGGGGGGGGGGCTGCCATGATGCCCTGCTCCAATGCCCAATGCCCATTGCACGCAAGAGCCATCCGACGCTGGCACAGCATCACGAGACCGCGTAGAGTGACGACAAGCTTTTTGGATGGCTCGATGAGCTTACGACGAGTGCCTCCTCCGCCCCAACAAAGTGTGTTGGATGCCGCTGTGGTTCGGATGGGCCGAGCTGGGCCCGTGCTGCCCCTATCCGCCGCACACGCGTCTCGAACGTGCCTGAGCGTGCCGTCGTGTCGGATCAGCCGAGGCACCGTGTGTGGAGCGGCTTTCACCCAATGACGAGCCACACCGACGATGCGATTGTGGTAGTGGGATGACGCCGCGCTCTGCCTGAGACCAACAACACGTTGGGGGGCGTGGCGGGTGTGTGTGTGTGTGTGTTTGTGTGGGTGCTGTGCCCAAAATCCCCAAATCACCGTTCAGCAGAATGCTCTTTCTCGAGACTCGTCACAAGCCAGCACGGCGAGCAAAGGTTCGGCGGAAGGCGGTCTCGTCAATGCGTCATGCGCAACCAGCGCCAACTCGCAGCGTCACTCCGGACCCTGTCCACTGCAATCTAACTTAGCTGCGAGTTGGCCAAAGTGAGCCGGCACTGGCGAGCCACCTGCATCGGCTTTGCTGCGAGCGCATCGTGCGCATCGGCCCTGCCTCGCTCCACATATTTCGCCGCGCGCCTGCTCGGTCTCGCCTCCTTCCCGCATCGACTTGAATTCGCCCTCATCGTTCCTCATCCTCTCCTCCATACTCTTCCGTACTCCTCCCTCATACTCCTCATCATCACTACCCGCAATGCCTTGTTAATGCAACTCCACTGAGCGCACATCCGCGGCTCCAGCCACGCATCCACCATACAATCGGTCGTCTTCGCACGCATCGCATCCCGCTACCATCTCAACACCGCTCAGCACCAAACCCATGTCGCTTCTCGTCGCCAACATGCCGTCGCCACCACATCGAGACCGCATCGACCCAGAGCCAGAATCGCCGGGCACATCCGGCTTCAACACTCCCACCGCCTCGTCCGGTCATCACACCCCCGCCGCAGGTTACCGCACCGCCGCAGGCACCATCTCCAATGCTTTCGCCTCTCTCTGGGGCACGTACAACCAGCAGCAAGCCAACGAGAGCGGTCCATCCCGTCTGCGTCCAGACTCTTCGTCGCAGAGCCCCAACGCCTCCCCCAACATGTCTGTACCGGGCGGCTGGGGCAACTTGCTCAGCTGGGGCCCCGCAGCAGCGCGCCAAAAGTCAAACAACAGCACACAGACGCTGCGCAAGTCGGCATCTCCTACGCGCACAGGTCGCGCAAAGTCCGGCCGCTCAAGAGCCGCCATCCCCTTCGACATCTCGGCTCCAGTTGAAGCTACGTCGGTCGAAAAGCACGATACCAACCACACCCACACCAGCGACAATGGCACATCAGACCACCACTCGCTCGGCCAAACTGGTACGATGCCAAGCCCTCGTCGTTCTCCAACAAGCTCGCCGCGTCGCCGTCCCCTAGCCGGCATCTTTGAAGACGTGCCCTCCTCTTCGCCCCCTCACACCCCGGCATCCCACTCGCCCACCTCGCCGCGTGCAAGACTCGTGCATGACCTGCCGCCTCACTCGCCCTCGCTCAAACACGAATCGCCCAGCGGCGCGTATGCTACGCTGTCCCGCCTTCAATCCAAGTCCTCGAGCACCAAGCTTCGCTCCGGCTCCGGCTTTCTCTGGCCATCAGCCACACCAGCCAGCTCCAAATCCCCCAACTCACCCATCCCACACCAGCGTCCCGCAGCCAATTGGAGCGAAGCTATCGCTCGCACTGAGAAGCTCGACTCGTACGTGCGTCGCATCGTCTTCCAGGCAGGCCTCGACTACGAGACGCGCCCCATGGTCGTCCTCGCCGCATGCTGCCTTCCTGATCCAAAAGAAGTCGACTACGATGCGCTCCTCGACCGCATCATGGACACCATGGACCTCTTTGTCGAAAACGACTACACCGTCGTCTACTTTGCCGGCGGCGGTCACCATCGTCCCGGCTGGAACTGGATCTGGCGCGCATACCGTCGTCTCGACCGTCGCTTCCGCAAGAACCTCAAGAAGCTCTACATTGTCCATCCCACCTTCTTCACGCGCTCGCTCCTCCAGTTTGTCAACACCGGCGCCTACTTTGTCTCGCCCAAGTTCTCCAAAAAGGTCTCGCAGCTCTACACCCTCAGCGCGCTGGCAGAGCACGTGCCGCTCACCCAGATCGACATCCCGCCCGAAGTGCTGCAGTGGAACGCAAAGTACGAGAGCCACGTCAACCTGCCCTCCAAGACCTCCGACGCTCTTGCAGGCCAGGAAGCCACGGACCGCGTGTTTGGCGTAGATCTCGTGCGGCTCATGGGCGAGTACGGCGAGAGCGGCGGCGTGCCGCGCGTCGTGCGCGACTGCGTCGACGCCATCCTCGGCGACTTTAACAGCATCCGGCCCGCCGAGGTCGAGGGCATCTTTCGACGCTCGCCCTCCTCGGCGCTGCTCAAGACGGCGCAGGAGAGCTACGACCGCGGCCATCCGGTCAGTCTCGAGCAATACCGCGATCCGCACATCCCCGCCGTGCTGCTCAAGGTGTTCCTGCGCTCGCTGCCCCGGCCCATCTTTGCAGCGAGCATGTACCCGCTCATCCGCGCGTGCCCTCCGCCGCCGCTGCCCAACGCCCAGGTGCCCAGCGCGGTGCACGAGGCGCAGGCGCAGGAGACCATCGAGTATCTGCGCACGCGTCTGCTGCCGGCCATCGAGCCGAGCTGTTCGGGCATCCTGCTGTCATACGTGCTCGAGATGCTGCACAAGGTCGCGCAGCACCGCGAGGCCAACAAGATGGACGCGGCGAATCTGGCGACGGTGATTGCGCCCAATCTCGTCTCGAGTGGCAATGCGATCAAGGACGTGATGATCTGCCGCGTCGAGGGGATGGCGTCCATGACGCTGTCAGCGCAGCCGCCGGCGTCAAGGTCGCCGCAGCTGCGCAAGGCCTCGCTATCGTCCAACGCCGACACCAACACCACCACGCTCGGCTCCATCGTGCGCTTCTGCATCGAGCGCTACTACGAGATCTTTGACGAGGTCAACTTTGGCGCGCAGTCCAATTCGGTGCAGGAGCTTGTGGACGATCTTGGCAAGGATGACGGCAGCCGCTCGCCCTCGATGGCGTCGAGGCGGCTGCCGAGCGTTTACGACACGCCCATGTCGCAGCACGGCGCGCTGGGGCTCGACGCGCGCATGCACCGCCGCGGCGGCTCGACGCAGTCGTCGGTGTCGGGCGTGTCGGTGTCGCAGCCGCCGTCGCCGTGGGGGATGACCGGCGCGAGTTCGTGGCACGGTGGGGCTGCGGACGAGGATGATGACGACCGGCGCTCGGGCGCGACGGGCCGCAGTATCACGTCGCGTGACGGCTACCGTGCTCCAGCCGGGGTGCACCGCGGTACGATCGCGCGCAACTCGTCTGGCTCGCTGCGGCTCACCAAGGGCCGGCTGGGCTCCAACACGAATCTGCGCGGCAGCTTTACGCCCGCCAACGCTTCGGGACTCGCCAGGCCCTCGGGCCTCACGCCGGTCAGTGCGCCCGCAGCGCAGGCGGACACCGACACGGACGCACTCACGTCGCAGCTGAGCGGGGTGGCGCTTACGGGCGCCAATGCGGTAGCGACCTTTAGCTCGCCTGTAGCCGAGCGGACGAGTGTTGCGCTCGGGGGCGCGCAGCCGCTAGTTGTGGGCGGAGGCAAGGCGCTCACGCCGACGTCGGGCAGCTCGTCGGCATCTGCATCGCCCGTGCTCGCGTCGAGCCCGCACTGGGGAGTTGCTCGTGGCGGTGGAGGTGACCAGCCGCCGCCGTCGCCGGCCGCACGCCGCAGGGAACGCACGGAGCTGTCTCAGGTGGACGAGCACGACGATGCGTAGCGCGCATTCTCGTGCGAGCGGTGTGTCATTACATTTTCTTGTCACCGGTCATGTTGGGCGTGTGAGCAATGTGGTGATGAGCTGATGGTGTGGGATGGGGAGTGTGGCGATGATGTGGATTTGATGGCAGAAGGTGGTGGGATTGGACGAGTGGAAAGGTGTTTTGCCTGGGACGGGAGTGAGGGGGAGTGTGGGGTTAGAGCTTGGGTCGGTTTGTGTGGGTGTTGAAGGCGAGGGTTAGGGTGATGGCGTGGTGAAACGCAGTAATGGAGAGCAGAGCTCGAGGGTAGCTCGAAGCACTGCGGGTTTGGAGCTGGGGCAGTGCAGAACACAGGCTGACATTGGCACAGTAGCACAGCACAGCACGCACGTTGAGCATGCAAGAGACCACTCACGCAACCCAGCCCGCAATGTCTTCAAGCACTGACATTGACAATTGTCACGACGAACCGACGTGCGATGCTGCTACTGCCTAATGCTGCGCTCCCTCGCCACCGCCTGCTGCGACTTGGCAGTGATCTCGATGAGTCGACCGATGAGTTCGTCGCGGTCCCAGTCGGCGCGGTGCTGCCAAATCGCACTGAACGCCGCCGCACGCAGCCGCGCCAGCTGGTCGATGCTGTACGTCGCCGTCGACGCCACAATGTGGTGCGTGAGCCGAACGTACGACGCCGCAGTATACGTCAGTGGCGGATGCACGGGCGCCGGCTCGACGCGCGCTCGCTTGCGCGACTCTTCCTTCTCAACCCCCTCCGTCGCCACAACTCCCCCCTCCACCACCACCACATCACCTCCACCCTCGCCCCCTTCGCCACCTTCGACCCCTTCGCTCCCTTCGGACCCTTCGGCAGGAGCGGCGGGAGCGTCGGCCTGGGCACTTGCACTGCGCTGTCTCTTAGCCCCTCGCTCGATGGCACCCGCATCGCCAAGCAACGCCGCATCCACCTCCTTGCCCGCAATGCGCGCACTCGCCCGCTCGCCTTTCGCGCTCTCGGCCGCCTTCTTGGCTGCCTCCTCGGCACTCTGCTTGGCCTTCTCCGTCGCCTCGCGCGCCTCCTGCTCGCGCGCCATCTGCCGCAACGCCATCCGATCACACTCCTCCCGGAAGCCTGCATCAATGTACTGGTCCATCAGCACAATCGCCAGGTTCCGCATCTGGTGCGCCCGGAACACGCGCTCCTGATCCACCTCTGCCGCCTCCTCGGCATTCTCGACGATCTTTTGAATGTCCTCCATAAAGGCCGAACACGACAGGTAGCCGTTGTAGTACAGCCGCTTCTGCATCTTTTCCAGGTTGGTCGTCCAAATCGGCATCGTCCGCGTCACGTACTCGTCCGTCGCGGCGCCGGCAGCACCGGTCGTGTCGGCTGCCGCAGTGGATGCATCGCCACCGGCTTCGTCAGCCTCGCCATTGGGATGGGCCGCACCAACCCCGTTGGGCTGCGACGATGGCGGCGCCACACCGTCGGCTGCGGCGCTCGACGCCTCGCCGCTCGCCTCGGCACCGTTGGAGCCATTGACGGCCGCGGCAGAGTCGCCATTGGCCATCTCGACATCGCCAGTCTCGCCCGCCACCGCAGCCGCGGCAGATGGCGCTTCAGTCTCGCCTCCCACCGCGTCCGCCGCCTCTTCGCCGGCAGCGACAGCACTAGGCTCGGGGCTGTTGAACTGGGCCGCCGTGATGCCGCGCTTGGCCGCAACGTCGGCCTCGGTCTCGAGCATGCCGTTGATGTCGTCGGCGTCGTCCTCGCGCGCCTGCTGCCCCGCCAGCCCCGGGCGGTAGTACCGCAGCTCGATCGTCACCTTGCCCTTTTCGCGCGTCCACTCGAACTGCTGCGTAAGCTCGCGCAGGTTGTACTCGTCCCACACATCGCGCGTGAACTTTTTGAACTTCTTGCGCAGCTCGGCGAGCACGGGTCCGAGGCGGTACTTGAGGTGCTCGAGCAGCTTGGCGTCGTTGTCCGCCTGCTGCTGCAGCTCGGCCTGCGTGAGCTTGCGCGGCGGGCGCGGCGGCGCCTTGGGCAGCTCCTCCAGCACCCTCTTGCGCCTCGGCAGCGCATCGGGGAACTCGGTCGGCGGACGAATGACGTGGTCAAAGATCTCCTTGAAGAACGCGCGGCGGCTCTCTTCGTCCGGACGCCGGATCTGCACGAGGTCGTCGTCCAAAAAGTTGAACCACGACTGCACCTCGTCGTCGAGCTCGTCGAGCGGCGCCTCGGCGATGCCGAGCAGCATGACCGGATCCGCATCGGTGAGTCCGTCGAGCAGCGCCTTGAACGTCGTCTTGACGCCCTCGGACACGGAGCGCGCCCAGTGGACGAGACCTGGAATATACAGGACGCTGGGTTTGTGGCGCTTGGCTTCGACGAAGAGCTGGATGATGGCAGCCTCGGGTGTGCGAGCGCTGTCACCCAGCAGCGTGCCAATGTCGAGCGACTGCACGTGATACCCTTCGAGGTGCTGCAGCAGCGCCGCACCGACCGCGCCTTGGCCCATGCCGGCCTCGCCGTGCACGAGCATGCGCGGGCGGTAGACGCGCTGCGCCTCGAACGACTGGAGCAGCATCTCACGACCAAAGCCGCGATCGCCAGCGAGCATGTCGGCAGCCGACATGCCGGACGTAAGTCCGTTGGGGACGAAGGTGTCGTCCTCCCACAGCGCCTCCTCGAGCGGATTGCGCTTGCTGACGGGCGGCAGGATGCGGTCAAGCACCGAAATGGCGTCCTGCACCACGTTGCCGAGCAAGGGCGCGAGCCTCTCGGGCAACGGCGCCGCCGCCGAGGCGCTCGCCCTCGCCGACGACGGCACGATCTTGTTGACGGACATCATAAAGTCCTTGGCGTCCACCTGGATTGATGCCGGGTCCAACAGCAGGCGATCCGTAGTCGAGTAGATCTGCGGATAGCGCCGTTGAATGGCGTTGAGGGCGGCCTCGGTGCACAGAGCTCGCAAGTCGGCACCACCGTAGCCCTTGGTGACCTCGGCCAGCCTCGCCTTGAAGTCGTCGTCGAGGGGTGGCTCCCACTTCCGTGTGTGGATGTTGATGATGCTCTTGCGCGCCTCGAGCGAGGGGAGCGGGAAATAGAACTCGCGGTCGAATCGGCCGGGGCGGCGCAGTGCCGGATCGACGCTGTCGGGCCTGTTGGTGGCGCCAATGACCACGACCTGACCTCGACCGTCCATGCCGTCCATGAGCGCAAGCATGGTGCTGACGATACTGGCGTGGATCTGGTCCTGCTTGCTGGAGCGGACGGGCGCCAGACCGTCGATCTCGTCGAAGAAGATGATACTGGGCTGCGAGGCGCGCGCCTCCTCGAAGAGCAGACGCAGCTGCCTTTCGGCCTCACCCACCCATTTCGACAAGCAATCGGCGCCCTTGCGCATGAAGAAGCTCACCTGCTGGCCTTCTGTGCTGCAGCTCGCGGCAAGCGCACGCGCGACGAGCGTCTTACCCGTACCTGGCGGGCCGTGGAAGAGCACGCCGCGCGGAGGCGTGACTTTGAAGCGCTGGAAGACCTCGGGATAGAGAAGAGGCAGCATGACCATCTCCTTGAGCTGCTGGATGTGACCGTCGAGGCCACCGACGCTGTCAAAGTCGATGTTCATGTCGACGCCGAGCGGGTCGACGTCAGCGAGCGGGTCGCCGCTCTTCTTGATGCGACCAAAGCTATCGGTGCCGCCCGAGCCGGTGAGTCCGCCGGGTGGACCGCCCGCGCCTCCGGCACCACCGGCGCCCAGCAGGCCTCCGGCACCACCGCCGCCGAGGGCCGCGGGACCGCCAGGTTTGCGCAGCGCATTGTTCTGGAGCTCGTCGTCGGAGCTGTCGACGGGGTCGCCAAAGATGCGGGCGTAGTCCTTGCCGGTCATCGAGGATGGCAGCGCGTCCCAGCCCTCTTTGCCCTTCTTGCCACGACCAGGGAAGGGCATCGGCAGAGCCGCACCGGTGCCCGAGCCTGGAGCAGCACCGGTAGTCGAGGGATCGATTTCGTAGGCGCCATTGGCGGCACGGCCGCGGTTGTTGCGGATGGCACGGCCGAAGCCGTCTCTTGGGGGCGAGGCTGGAGGAGGCACGAGCGAGTAGTTGACCTTTTTGCGCTGGCGGAGCGAGTACGACTTGCCCTGACTGCCCTCGGGCTCGTCGCTGTGCAGATCGAGCGGGTCGTCTTCGGCGCCCGAGATGTGGTCTTCCTCGGGCGTGTCGTCGCCGTCCATCTCGAACTCGTCGTCGATGACCTTCTTTGCGTGACGGCCGCGGCCATTGGCGGCGCGTTTCTTGGCTGCCATCTCCTGAAGGCGATTGGAACTGCTGCTGTTGCCGCGACGCAGAACTCGACCGGACCGAGTCTTCCTGGAGCCGTATTCGCCCTCGTCGTCCTCGTCGTCCTCGTCGTCGGCGGCAACGAAGCCGCCAAGCGAGTTGCTGGCGAGTTTGCGAGATGTGCGGCGTGTGGAGCGCACCACCTCTTCGTCTTCATCATCGTCATCGTCACGGCCCGCTTCCGAATCGTCGGACTCGGCCATGCTCTCCTTTGCCATGCGTCGCATGCGGCCGCTGCGGCTACGCGACATGATGGGCTCTGGCTCGTGATGTTTGTCGTCGTCGTCATTCTTGACAGCGACATCTTGCTCGCCTTCGGCATCGTCGTCGGCGTCGGCATCCTCGTCGTCGTCTTCCGCAGCGTCAGCGTCCTGTGGGTGGTGATCGATTGTAAAGAGGGAAGGAGGGCAGCGTCAGTAACAGTTCGATATGGCAGTAAAGTGTGGATGGTTTTGCGGCCACGGGATAGCTCTGACACGAGTCCAACGAGCATCACGATCCTCCAAGCGCGATGCACGCTTCCCTTGCATCGACCATGATCCTGTGCAATGCCGACTGCTTCTGACTCTGAACCAAACGCTTGCGGAACCGAATCCCGAAGCTTACCCTTCTCCTGCTACTACGACGCGCCGACGGCGCCCTGGTCTGTCCGGCGAGGCGCTGCGTCGCGCTCGGCATCTGCTCGCTCACGATCTCCTGACTGGATTCTGGGGCGGAATCGCCCGACCGTCTGGTGCTGCGGCGCGGCGGAGGTGGACGCGACTCGTGGATGCGCAGCGACTGAGACGTGGTCGGCGTCTGACTGCTGGTGGGCGCCTGGCTGCTGCTGCGGCTTTGGTTCCTGCCGCTCCTGCGAATGGCGACTGGGAAAGTCTTTCTGCTGCTACTTCTGCTACTTCTGCTAGCCTTCTGCTCGCCTATGTGCTCTCCTGTCTCCTGGCTGTCAACGCTGCTGATGCTCCCCGAATCCCGGTTCGGCAGATGTGCATGTCGCAGAGGATGGCTGCCGCGGTTGTCGTTTGTATGATGGTCACTCACGTCTTGGTAATCTTCTTCGCTGCCTGGTTCCTTTTTGGCAGGACGGAGGCGCAGGGAACGGCTTGCGGGACTGTCGGACAGCGCGCTCATGCTGGCGCTGGCATTCAAAGCGGCCGCTCTGCTGGGTCTTGCGGACATGTTGGAGTTGGGCTCGATCTGGAGCTGTGCCTGCGCTTGTTGTCCGCCGGCGCTGGACTCGTTGGTCTTGGTGACGCGTTTGAGCTTGACGCGAAGTGTGGATTTCGGAGGCGACGGGGTGGCCACTTGGCTGTGTTGGGGCGGCGGGGTGGCGATGTCGTCGGCTACGGGATGCTCCGAGAGGTTAGCCTGTGGTGGGTACGAGCTTGGCTGATGGACGTAGCCTGCTTGTGCGTGAAGCTGCTCGGAGCCAGACTGTGGCGCAAAGTGGACTTGCTGGTCCCACTGGGGCTGGTGGAGCTGCTGAGCAAAGTTGTTGTTCAGAGGCAGCTGGTTGGAAGCGCCGGTGTAGCTGGTGCCGGAAGCGTCAAAATCAGGAGCGAGGTGGGAGAAGGCGTGATCGGGCTGAGCTGCAATGTTCTGATAGGCGGCTTGATGATGATGCGGAAAGGGAGGCTGGGGGAAGTCGGGTGCAGCCTGGTTGGCGGAAGGATATCCGTAGCCGTGTTGGTGGGGGAAAAGCTGATGCTGCGGATCTGGATGGAAGCTGGGAGGGTTGGATTGGAAAGAGGAGTGGTGAGGCTGGGACGTGTAAGGGTGCTGGTTGTTGTTGGATCCACCGGACATGGAAGCTGATGCCGATGCGGGTGGAGGTGGGAGACTGCGAGCGACGTCGGCAGATGGTCAAGAGCTAGGGAGCGCACAGCTGTGCAACGTCCATGTCACAGTGTCACGGCGATCGTGTTGAAGCCGATGCGGATGACGAAGCGCTCCGTTTGTGCACGGCCAAAGCTGTATGATCACGCGTGCGGGATTGTGCGGATGCAGCGGGCCGAAGATGAAGGCGTCGGACGGGTGCAGAAGGGACGCGTCTGGGCTGGCCGAGCTTGTCGCTGTAGCTGGCTGCGAGCGGAAGGAAGCACGCCGATGCGGCAAGTGTGTAGCAAAAGTGTGCAAGCTAGCTGTGTTGCTGCGGCAGATGAAGGAGGAGCGGGAAGGACAAGTAGGGACGAAGGCGAGAAGATGGAGTGAGAATGGCAGCCTGGTCGAGGCGCTTCCAAAAGAGGTGGAAATGCGCGCGACGGCTCGTTTGGCTTTGGCGCCTCGCCAGCGGCCTCCTTCGCCTCGACTCGTTTCCAACGCCAAATCGACGCGCGCGCCTCAGCCACCTCTCTGCCGCTGCTTAGCTCCGCGTCGTCGGCCTCTGCCAAAATCGGGAGATCGAAACCAACACCAGCCCCGCCCAAATATTGCCCTCCACTGTCACTCGCCTCATCACAAGCTCAGCACAATGGTGCATGCAAATGCAATGAAATCACATATGAAGCGTGCATTATCAAGTCTTCTTTTGCGTCTTCTATTACAATGGCTGAGCTGGCAATGCGGGAGGCCGATCACGATGCAGCATACGGCGAGGTGGTGAGCGTCCACACCTTGACGCTGCCGTCGTCGCCCGCGCTGGCAAGCATGTCCGACATGTTTTGGTGGGTCAAGCCGCTGGACAGACCCGCACTCTTGGGAGTCACACCGTCATCGAGAAGCTCCTCGATCTTGGCTTGCGCGCCTCCACCGCGGGCGTTGAGGCTCTCGGGCGCCCACGCGACGCAGTTGACGTCGGCGCTGCCGTGCGCACGCTCCATCTTGGCCACCAGCTCCACCTTGGGCGCCAGCTGCTTATCGTCCTCGGATGCGCTGATCTCGTACACGCAGATGCGGCCGTCGCCACCGCCGCTCGCCAGCCGGCCGAGGTTGCCGTTGCGATTCGAAGCCGTGTCGACGCCCCACGAGACGCTGTACACCGTCCGGTCGTGGTCGCCCCGCAGCACCGTGACGGCCACCCACTTGTCGCCTCTGCGGCCGGGCATCTTGCCTTCGGGCTTGACACCGCGCGCCTCGCACTCGTCCGCGTTGAGGCGGCGCCAGATGCGCACCGTCAGGTCGTCCGACGCCGAGGCGAGGTAGTTGCCGCACGGCGAGAAGGACAGGCTCCACACGGTCGACTCGTGACCCGTGAGCGTGGTGTAGCAGAACCAGTCGTCCTGCGGGTCGTCGATGTACAGCTTGATCGCATCGTCGTACGATGCCGACGCCAGCACCTCGTCGTTGGGATGCCACGCCACCACCTTGACGTCCTGCGAGTGCTCCATCAACACCGACAGGCACTCGAACTCGGCGTCGGGCTGCACCTCCCAGATCCACACCGACTTGTCGCGGCTGCACGACGCCAGCACGCTGCCCGTGTGCGAAAAGGCGACCGACTTGCACTCGCTCTCGTGGCCCTCGAGCGTGCCCACGCAGTCCCACTCGGGCTCGTCCACGTGCTTGCCACCGTTGCTGAGCGCCAGCGGTCCGCGGCTGCCGTTGCTGCCTTCGAGCTCGGCGGTGCCGTCGATGTCCTGTATCCTCTCCCAGATGCCCACGGTGGAGTCGAACGAGGCGGTGGCGAGGATCTTGCCGTCGGGCGACCACGCCGCCTGCCTGACGGTGCGCTGGTGGCCCGTAGGAATCACCTCGCGCAGGTTGAATGCCGGCTGCTTGGACGTAGAAGGCCCCTCGGCCGTCGTGGTCGAGACAAACGAGTAGGCGTGCAGGCGCACATCCTTGTCGCCCGAGCACGATGCGAGCAGCGGCATGCGCGGATTCCATGCCAGATGCCAGGCGCGAGAAGAGTGGCCCTCGAGGTTGGCAACCAGATGCAGCGGTGCCGTCGCCATCTTTGCGTTATCCAAGACCAGGCGAAGAAGAGGATCAAGGTTGCTGGTAGAGAGAGAGGGAGGGAGAGAGGGAGAGAGCAAGCAAGGAAGGGTGGGGCGCCGCAGCAGATGCACGGATGCCGAATCGCACGGCCTGAAAAAGCCAACAATCCGCGGGCTCCACTGCTGCGGCCTTCGGAACTACGCGGCGCCCGCCCGAACTTCTCTCCTTCCGCCTGCTTCTTGGCTCTGCTGCCAAGGCTGCCGGGTGACAAACAGCGCGGCCGCTGCTGCTTCACCCAGGCGCTCTAAATTTCCCGCTTCGAGCTTCGGCACGACGGTTCGGCACATCCGAGCCATGCCCTCTCCGCCGCTCGTCTCAATCTTCTCAATCTTCCCACCCTTCTTGGATCAAGCTCCAGTCCACGTCGCATGTGTTCCGACTTGGTTTTCCGACGGGAGTGCATCTTGAGTATAAGCTAAGTTCTGTTCTGTTTCGCAAAAAGTGATCGTCGCTGCTTAAGGGTTCTCGTTCCAGCCCTTGGCGCGCTCCACGGCGCGCTCCCAGCCGTGCAGCAGCTCGCTGCGCTTCTTGTCGTCGATCTTGGGCTCAAACACCTGCTTGCCCGCCGTGTTGACCTTGCTGAGCGTCTCGGGCTTGTTGATGTCCCATCCGAACAGCCCGATCGCCGAGCCGGCCAGCAGCGCCGAGCCGAGCGCCGTGCTCTCGCGCATCTCGGGTCGCTCCACGTTGATGCCCAGGATGTCGGCCTGGATCTGCATGGCCACGTCCGAGTTGGTCAGGCCGCCGTCCACCTGGAGCGCCTTGAGCGCCACACCCGAATCCTTGGCCATGGCGTCGAGGATGGCCTTGGTCTGGTAGCACGTCGACTCGAGCGTGGCGCGGCAGAAGTGGCGCTTGTCCGTGTACGCCGTGATGCCCACCACGGTGCCCGCCGCCGTGTCGTCCCAGTACGGGCAGAAGAGGCCGTTGAACGCCGTGACAAAGTACACGCCGCCCGTGGTGTCGACCTGGCCGGCGAGCTCGCCGATCTCGTGCGCCTCCTTGATGAGGCCGAGGCTGTCGCGCACCCACTTGACCGCCGAGCCCGCCACGGCGATCGAGCCCTCGAGCGCGTAGTACACGGGCGCGTCGGGCCCGGCCTTGTAGGCGATGGTCGAGAGCAGGCCATTCTTGGACGAGACCACCTTGTCGCCCGTGTTGTAGAGCAGGAAGGCGCCCGTGCCGTACGTGTTCTTGGCCTCGCCCGGCTGGAAGCACTTGTTGCCTACGAGCGCCGCCATCTGGTCGCCGACGATGCCGGCGATCTGGACGCCTTCGAGCGCACCTTTGGAGATGGTGCCGTACACCTCGGAGGAGCTCTTGATGTCGGGGAGGATGTCCATGTCGATGCCGAAAAAGTCGCACAGCTTCTTGTCCCACTTTTGGGCGCGCAGGTCCATAAACATGGTGCGCGATGCGTTCGAGGCGTCGGTGATGTGCACCTTGCGGTCGGTGAGGTTGTAGACGATCCACGAGTCGATGGTGCCAAAGAGCATCTGCTTGTCGTCGTGCGCCTTGCGCACCTCGGGCAGGTTGTCGAGCATCCAGCGCAGCTTGACCGACGCAAAGTAGGTGGAGAGCGGCAGGCCAGTCTCCTCCTTGAGCGCGTCGACGCCCTTGTCGCTCTTGGCCGAGAGCTCGCGGATGGTGTGGGTGGTGCGTGCGTCGGGCCAGGCGATGGCACGCGTGAGCGCCTTGCCCGAGTCCTTGTCCCACACCACCGTCGTCTCGCGCTGGTTGGTGACGCCGATGACCTTGACGTCCGAGGCCGAGTACTTGCCCTCCTTTTCGAGCTTGGCGATGGTCTTGTCGATGCACTCGTGCACGCAGTCGATGATCTCGTGCGCATCCTGCTCGTGCCAGCCCGGGTGCGGATAGTACTGGTTGAACTCCATCTGGTGCGAGGCGATCACCTTGGCGAACTCGTCGAACACCATGAAGCGCACGCTGGTGGTGCCCGCGTCGACGGATCCTACGAGCTCCGGCATGGTGTCGACTTGCTTGCTACGGCGTGGGTATGAGGGGGTGGGGGGATTGTAGATTGTGGGGCAGCGCTGCGTGCGCACGACGAGGTTGCAGGCAAAGAGGCTAGGATCGGCAGTGATGCAAGTGATGGTGGGGAGAGACTGTGCAGCCGGCTTTGAGAAGGAGGCCAAGCCCAGCCTCGCCTGGTCCAGCCTGTCGAGCTGCTCGGATTCTGCGCGTACGGTATCGGGCCGGGGGGTGGGCGAGGATGAAAGCGCACCGTGGGCTTCCGGTAAAATATTGGTGCGGCTGGGCAGCGAGAGAGCGAATAGGCGAGCGAGGCGGATGCACTGCCCGACAGCCGATGGCCGGCTTGGCCATGCCACCAACGCACCGCTCCCATGCCCGGCGCCAGTTTGCAATGAACGCTGCAGCTCTCGGTGCAGCTGCGTTGCGGTCGGCACTGGAAGCGTGCCTGGCTCACGGACCGTGTCTCCGAACTGTGGCTCGCTCTTGCTGCGCTGCGATCCGTGCATGCGGACGGAAGAGCCGAGCAGCCAACCAGCAGCTGCTTGCACGGCCCTTTTTTTTCGACCTTTTTTTTTTCTTCCTCCTCCTCCCCC